TCCCTAAAGACCCATTTTTGGGGCTAGCACTTTCACTAAGCACTAACAAGATCTGTCATAACTCTAGCTGGGAAGTGAGATCAGAGGACTTTTCATGTTGGCAGATTTGTAAGAATGCGTCCAGATGGAATGTCAAAAGTTACAGTTCATTAACACTGCGGCTACTCCAGTGTAATTTACTTTCTATCCTACAACATACAAATTAGTCTTCAGTAACAATCAGATTAATAAAACACACTTGACTGCATATGAATTAAGCTTGTTTATAATACCTTTTACACCCACCCTTTTAAACTATAATATTTTGCTACATGTATTACTGTAAATCCTCCAGAAAAAACCCACATAGCTAAAGAAATGATTACACAAGGAAAGTAGGAAATCATCAGTTCTACATTGCTACCCAATGCTCAGGAAAAATGCTGCAGATAAAAATATTAATTTATGGCAAGTTTCAGTTCCTTTGTACTTCTCTATGTATCTGCCTGCCAACCCAACCACAAATCTTACAGATGATCCATGATAATCTGTCTTGGAATTTTTCTTGTAACAATGCCTATCCAGGAGCAGCAATAAGCTAACAGCATAATTGTTTTTGTTTTCAAAAAGCAAAAGCTTGTCACACTGTATTTAATAAATAACCACGTATGCCATCAAGCATCTACTTATGAACAATAAGCATTCATGATCTTGCTAAGTATAATTCTAAACCTATACTGCTGCAATACTGTAATCTACTGCTTCAGTAATTATGCCACCTTTAAAAGGTCATATCATATAGAACTGAATCCTCCCTGCCAAATACTGCATGATAAAATTATAAATTATACTACAACACAGTCTACATCGTGCATGAAGTACACTTCAAAAAGAAAACTGAGCAACAGTTGAACCTGGATGGGTATAGCCAGAATGTGTCAAGAAAGCTGTTATGACAGGCTTGCTGGCAGCAAAGAAAACAAAATTAATATAAAGAAATAATATAAAGAATATAAAGAAATTATTATAAACTGACAAACTACAGACCTGAAGAAAATATAAGTACCATTAATGGCAGAACAGGAAAAACACCACTGGGATTCTTCTGATTATAGGGGAAAAAGCCTTTCTTCTCTTTGGGAGGGTTAGGTCTATAACAATCTTTCTATACTTGTATTGAAAAAATAACAAGTTTGGGTCTTCCCATCTGTGCATAAGAATATTTTAAAAAACAATGCCACAGGATTTAGTGAATTTCCTATTTCTCCATATCTTTAAATGATAAATGTTTAGAAATTAGAAATATAAAACTCAACACAATTTTCCAGCTACATTCAATGGCAAAGTCCACTGCTTTCTATGTAATTACACAACACCAGGAATCAAAATTATAACATAGCAACAAACAGGGTCAAAAAGTATTTCAAGGTCCAGCTGGCAAGTATGCAGAGGGTGAAAAGATGAAACTTCCTGTTCAACTAACACATGACAGGTTTTTTTCTATGCAGAGAAACAAAATCACAATTTTTAATCAAGAAAACCCCCTGACATTTACAACACTTAAGCTTTTGAGCTTTTGTAAAGCTCTATCTAGAAAAAGTATAATCAAAACTTCTTGTAAAGCTTTTTCTCTACCTCATTAGGAAACAGGAAAAAAAAGTCACCAGTAGCAGGGATTCCCTCAACTGGCACCCTTTGAAATTGCTATTGCTTTTATTTCACAGATCCCCACATGTCACTGTAAAGGTATGAGCTAATCACACCAAGACAGCACTGCACCAGCAGCTGTATTTACTTACATTGATTCCAACTGTCAGGGGAAAAAAAGAAAATGAAAACACAGATAAGGTTGTTAAATGCACGAACATAAATGTTTGCTTCTGACTCAGAAGCTTAAACAATAAAAATATTAGTCACAAAATTCTTGAGATTCATTCATTTCTGCTCCATGAACATTTCAGTTTTTGCTGTAAATTTAATAGAATTTATGCAGAGGAATGAATAGATCCTCCATTGAAAACACTTGTACTTCAGTGCTCAATATATAACATACCTGCTGTATATTAGAGCTGGAGTAAATTTAACTGTATAACTGATGTTTCTTCATGTACACAGACTATAGATAATAGCACAGAAACCCTGCACACAGTCTGTGTTTCAAAACAAGAATGAACAGCACTGTTAATGAGTTACAACAGTCACGTGATAAACTAAACTCAACAAATGCTGATAGATTCACTTCAGTTTATACAGCATTGTAGATTCCATCAAAAAATCAATCTTGAATTCTCTAAAACTCTGAATTATTCCTGACTGAGGCAGCTACAAATGAAAGAAAGTGTTTCAGTGGTAACCTACAAATGGTGAAATCATGGGGAAGCTTTCTTCAGTAAATGCATGTGAAACATTGTCAGGGTAGACACAGATTCCTTTATTAAGGAACAATTTAATGCCATGCAAAAACAGAGCATAGTTTACTTTCAGTCAGACTGTTGAGCAAAGATTCTTTTTCTGTCTTTAGAAACAGATAAAAAATGGCTAAAAAGAAGCAAATGAACTTTAAAAAGCCCCACAGCTTTACAGACAGATGCATTCAATAGAGCCACTAAATCACAAATCCTCATATTCTGTGTGGTAAAAGTTGGATAGTAAAAACTGAAATCAAAAACAGTAAAATACTTTTTTGCAACCCCAACAGATTGTCAGTTTTTGCTCTTTTGACAGGAGTTTGTACTTGGTATCTTTTCTAAAAGAATTTGTGTGTCTACTAAGCATAACAGAACATCATTAACAACCTTTAAAGAAATATTTTAAGACAAATATCAAGCCCATTGTTTTTCTAATTCTGAATTCTGTCCATAACATCAGAATGGTATATTCTTAATATTATGATTTTATATATTGTCAAATTAATGACATATCAAAATAACTTACACAAACTAACCCTTTAATTTATAACTAATGCATCATTACAAGCAACCCATATTATCAAACCACATGTATTCGTGCCTATGTCTCATGGAGACAAGTAATTTTCATAGAATAATAGAATCGGTAAGGTTGGAAAAGATCTCCAGGATCACCAACTCCACCCTTTCATCAAACATCACCATGCCAACAAAACCATATTACAAAGTGCCATGTCCAGTCTCTTATGGAACACTTTCAGAGACAGTGTCTCCACCATCTCCCTGGGCAGCCTATTCCTATGCTTGACTACCCTTCCAGTGAAGAAACTCCTCCTGATATCCAACCTGAACTTCCCTTGGCACAGCTTGAGGCCATTTCCCCTTGTCCTGGCACTGGCAGTCTGGATAGAAAGGCTGCCTCTCACCTTGCCACACCCTCCTTTCAGGCAGTTGTAAAGAGCAATAATGTACCCTCCAAGCCTCCTTTTCTCCAGGCTAAACAACCCCCCTCCCTCAGCCGCTCCTAGGATTTACTCGCTGGACCCTTCAACAGCTCCACTGCCCTTCTCTGGGCTCACTCCAGCCCCTCAACGTCCCTTGTGTTATGAGGGGCCCAGAACTGGACAGAGGACTCAAAGTCTGGTTTCACCAGTGTTGAGCACAGAAGGACAATCCCTGCCCTGGTCCCACTGGCCACACCATTGCTGATGTGATGCCATAGCCTTCTTGGCCATCTGGACACAGCTGGCTCACGTTCAGTTGGTGTCAGCCAGCACAGATAAGCTGACTATGTAGGAAGTTAGCACTGTAACAGTGACTTCGAGATACACTGTTACAGGGTACTCATAACCTTTACTGGCACAGACTAGCTAGTACAGAATGACATAAGCACTGTAGAAAACAAGCTATGGATGTTCCCAAAACTCTTTAAGAAATGAATCCTGCGGATTAAGCTGCAGCCATTTGAGACATTACTGCTCTGCTCCCAGTACTGAACCTTCTATGTTCATAACCCATGATGCAATCTTCAAAGTAGCAATCACTAGGATTTTATTAATCTATTTGCATTTGACTGCCTGAGTTATCTGAAGATGGAGCAGCCATGGAAGAAGGATTGTAGGTGGCACAGGTAGAAAACTTATCTTAATCCATTAAAGATGTACTCAGTAGGAACTTCTCTGACAAAAGCTTTCTGTGGCCTGCAGTGAATACTGCTACAACATGCTCTGAGGATCCAGTGACAGAAGTAAGTAAATCACTTTGTTGATGAAGTTCAATAGCAAGCCATTAAACATAGCCATTCTAGTTTGAATGGTTTATTCCCAGCTTTTAAATATACCACCTTGAAACACAAAGCAACAATTAATTTAAGACACAGTACACAAGAATCTAAATTACTTTATTAATACATTAATGTGTGATTTTATTACCCAATGATTTTAAGTAGACAGAGAATAATTAAAGGGACAAGACATCCTCTTTTTACTCATCTCCTCTTTTGCCATTCCCTAGCTCAAGTTTAGTAGAGATTCCATCAAATCAGCAAGCCACCAATTTAAGAGAATGATCAAAGAGATCTTCAAATACCTGTGGAATAATCCTCATGATGCTAAAGTTCTATTACAAATGAATCCTGGTGTCTCTAGACACAGAAAGTGACAAAACCCAAAGCTGCAGGTAACTGTCACACTCTAGGCATTCAACTGCTCCTTGGCAGAGGTTAATGTGCTGTAGGACAGGCTGAGTGCACAGCATATTGCTGACAAGGAAATCACTGTCATTATGGTTCATAACTTAACTTCCACTACAAAAAACAGGTGACAGGATGATTTCCAATTGTCTTCACATCCAGTCAGTCAACCAAAATTCCTGGAAGGTTTGTCCCATCAGGGATGCTTGCATGTAGTCTCTATCCAAATGTATTCTCAGCTGTTGTGGAACAAGTTAGAATGGTCCATAAGGACTTCTTTTCTCTTCAATGAAGCTTTGAAATAGTCTCCACTACTCCTTAAGCCTCTTTCCTTGCATGTCAGCAATTTTTAATGCAAATTTCTTTTCAAGATAAAAGGAAACCTGGACTAAATCTTAGGAAGACAATTAAATATTTTGTCTCTTCAATGAAGCTTTGAAACAGTCTCCACTACTCCTTAAGCCTCTGTCCTTGCATGTCAGCAATTTAATGCAATTTTCTTTTCAAGATAAAAGGAAACCTGGACTAAATCTTAGGAAGACAATTAAATATTCTCAACCTAAGTTTTATGTGTAGAGTCATAGCTCCACTTCCAGTCTGTTATTTCAAATGTCTGACAAATATATATTTAAATAGCAAGGCAAAGGGCCTGTTCAGTGGTTACTATTCATCACTTCTGGGTACTCACTTCTTAGGAAAACAAGCAGACCACAACAGCCATTAAATGCTAGAAACAACCATTTTAAGAAGTAATAGCTGGTGGAACTTAGCACTGTCCTCTTTTAAGTTGAGATGCTAACAGGATAAAAGAAATTAAATGCAGTCTACTACTTGCTCAGTTGGTTGACTTAGCAAAGGGTTTGAAACCATAAAGTGAAACTGAGTGAATCCTGGAATTTTATTACATGCAGCACCTAGGAAAAAAAAAAAATTCTAATTTACTACATTTGGGATTAGTCTCTCTGTCATTGTATTTTATCATCCAAAGATCCAGTTACTAATTCTACTACAGTGGTATAATTATTCTTTTACAATCTGTTTAACCCAAGACATATTGAAAGTTTTAATTTTGGAGTTAAAATACAGTACTACTAGTGCAATTAATGCTCTTATAGTACAATTCAAAACAGTAACACAAGTCAGGAAAATCTCTCTCTTTCAATCCTGATTAATTTAATGAGTTCCTTCAACACTAATCTCTTAAACACAGAACTACAGGAAGTAAGAGATCAAAAAACAAGCAAAGCAGTCTAACTATATAATCCACACTGATTAGCAAATTGTACTTCCTACTGATCTAAGAGTTTATTAATGAGATGCCTGGCACAATGACTACTCTTAGATCACTTTGAAGCTATGCTTAACATTCATACTCTCCTTCCCTTATGCCATATCTAGGGAAGGCAAAGTCTTTTTTTAAAACCTTCAAATTAATCATATACAGTCCAGGAAAACAAATGAAGGTTGTAAATATTTCTGGGTTTTGCTAAGATTTCCATAAATTTTGTGAAAGTCTAAGACATCAAAACACAAAATTAAATTATCGCCAGTCTGCACTAGGACACAGCTGCCCTGCTAACCAGCATTCCATACTGTGAATGGCCAGTACCGCTGCAGTCTTTAAAGAATAATTAAAGAGTTCTTTAAAATCTATGTTCAGTTTTCTACATCCGTGACCTAGTTAGGATCAGGCACCTTTGTCTGCAAAACAAAATACATACCATAACTTCCAGTTGTATTGGCACAAATGATAGCACCAAAGAACTTTGGAGCATACTTCTGGATTCTGGAAATAACTTTCTGACAGGCTACTGTTGGGTCGGTTCCCATCCTCATATATTCCACAGCTTGATAACTAAAAAAAAAACAACCCCATACCCAGAAAATTAGCCATATTTAGGTTATGTAATTTAAAATACTACAGAAAAGACCCTGGTTTCACTGAATAATGGAAACACATGATAATTTTTTTAGGCCAACTTCATATTGGCAACTATTACTCAAATTGTATACAAAAAGCAATCAAAAACAAGACTAAAAGGGACTACAAGATGTCATCTATACCATCCATCATTCTATGGCAGGCCAAACCAAGACAGAACTCTGATCATTTGCAGTAGAAGAGGCTAAGCAAAAGATCAGTTGAAGAACTGCAAGGAGCAGTGGCTTAGAAGACTTAATGGCTTCTACTTTTCATAACATGATTGGGTTTAACATTAGAAGTAATTGCTAGTTTTCAGAAAGGCTAATGTCAAGATAATTTTTTGAGGAAAACTCAATATTACATTACTGATAAATTATTGAGTTGAGTAAGCATTAAAAAAACCTTACAGAAAAAAATTTAAGATTCTGAAAATATCAAAATTGACAGATTTTCTTTATTTTATGAATATGAAGGTACCATGTTTTGATCAGGATTTTGAGCCACTTTCAACCTTTTTGCAAAGTGATTAAAAAAACCCCTTATTCTAAGAGTAATCAAAATTAATTTCCTTTATATTGAAAGAAATTGCTTGAGATGAACCAGCTGCATTTCCAAAATGTCCTGAGGTAAAAAATTACCTATGCCGCCATTTTCTTTCACAACCTGCAGATTAAATGATAACTCACATAACTTACAGGCAAACAACATTTTATCACTTTGATGAAAGACGCATATACCAAACTCATTACACTAAGACATCTACAGATTGCATTAATTACAGATATTATCAAAGTACCACAGAAGAGAAAAACTCTTGCATTTCAATACTCTCTATTATCTTTGATTTATTCTAACAATCAAATAGGTTCAAGTTATCTAAAGATAACTATCTGAATATAAAGCTGTATTTCACTCTTGTTTAATCAAAAACTCAACAAGAAGTTACCACCTCAATGAAAGCATACAGAAAATATTAACAATTTTACCCTTTATTTGACACTTTCTTCACTTCTGGGAGGTTAATTCTTATCTTTGTTTTCATGTGGAAATATCTAAATATCATGGAATTAGTAAAAATCTTTATCTATAAGGAGACAGTAATTAACCACCTAGTCTGGTGATTAACCCACTGGTGCCAACATTACATGTTCTAAGCATTACAGACAAACACTTCAGGCTGCTTAAGTGCAATCTAAGCTTTTACTGACTAGCCTTATAGTGGAGATTAACTCACTACTCATCTTGGTATCTTGTATGACAAGACAGATAATTCATGAAGTTGTCAACTGCCTTGTATTTGAAAGACTGACTCAGAACAGCTTGAAATTCACTGACAGCATCAGTAAATATGCAACAGCTAGCAGGCTTTCTTGGCTGCCAGAGTTTCAGAAAAGTTGCCTGAGCAATATGAAGGCCACTTCTGTATTATCCTTCAGCATCACTGCCCATTATGTTTAGCATGGACTTCAATAATTGATTCCTGCTGAGACCAACCCAGGAGGATGCTCAAGAAGAGAGCCATTTCTCACACAGTTTATGCAACCACTGTGACAACACTAAAACACCTCTTTCAGTTTCAAATTAGATGCAATTACAAAGGATTGCTGCAGTGATACCTCCTGAGTGAGCTGAGACCCACAGCTCATCCTTTCTACAATTTATGATACTTTCCCACACAACAAAATGCTTTGGAGAAGAAAGCTAATTGGTTCTGCTAAAAAGCATACAGGTTGGAAATATACTCATTACCGGCTGCCTGTTTGCTCACAGCTTGGCAGTATTAAGGCATCTGTCATCAGGATATTTAAGTCTCTTCTTTTAAGACAGATCATAAGGGTAACTTGGTTCTGCTATTATTCTTTCCCCTTCCAGTCCTTCCTTTACTCCCACTTCAGCAGCCACTGAGTCAGACCATATTTTTAGTCAATTTCTTCATTTGCTGAGTCCACATTTTGCTGCAGAAATCCAGCAAAGTGTGCCCTAAGAACAAACCTGGGTAAGAAGCGCATCATGATGTCACCATCCCCAGTGGCTGCAGCTCCTCCAGCTGAACTATCTGCGTAGGATCCCGCTCCAGCTATTGGAGAATCTCCCACACGGCTGTAGTGAACAATGGAAAATAAAAACCAAACTTTGTCAGCCTTACTGCCTCCAGCTGACTTAGCATTAAACCCACAGGAGAACAGAACAGGTAAAGAGGTCAAGCCACTGCAGTCAAAAGTCTTGTTTTAAAACTACCTGTAAAAATGATCTGTGATAACCTGACTGACCTGAGGCTTAATCCACCACCAATGCATAAGTTTCTGTTTTTATACTGACTATAGTTAAGCCAGTGAGCTTTAGCCTGTGGGCAACAGTAAGCAGCTGGGGACATTAATTTGTTCAATAACTTGTTGCTAAATCCAGAAATTGTCTGACTTGGTTGACAGACAATAATCCTAACTGTGTAGAAAAAGTATCTCAAAGACAAAACACAAGCCTGAGGCTCTGATTTTATGTACATTTCTTAGGAGACTGTGTGCCTCTCCAAAATGCTTATTTGTCCCTGGTGTCTTGCCTTACAAGTTGTCTCACAACTGTGCCAGTTGTTTGTGTCTCTATATGGTGAATTAAGCAAGCTGAAAAACAAGCATTCCCTCAAATGCAACACATACTCTTGCGACTGCATCAGCTTCTCTATATTAGGATTTATGGCAAGTGCACAAAAAAAAGCCAAGTCATTTTATGACCTACAGGTTAATGTTTTAAGCCTCAATGACAAGTTTAACATAGGAAACAAGGTGGGTAAAAAAGCTTTTTTGTGAAATCAGATACTAACCCTGGAAGTTTGTGGATTGCACCATTAGTAGATGTCCCAGAAGCAACGGTTCCACTCACACCAATTACAACCATACCTAAGATTTTCAACAGGGACAAAACATATTCAGGAATACTACTAGCATATTTATTTAGTTGGAACTACCCTTACCAAACAGAACCACAATGCCCAGACTATTCAAATTACTGATATCCTGAAATACAAGAGTTGTAATCTTTTGGAAAACAAGTTCTTTTAAAAAGATATTTGAAAATTTTTACAATCTAGTACAAGAGCTCAAAAAAGAAAGTTAAAGAGTGAGTGCCACACTGTTCAGAGCTATGTTACTGCTGCCCAAGCAGTCACTGCCTCCTGATACACACCTTTGTTAACCAGTAGAGAATAAGTACCTGGTGTCACCACATCAAGCTCCAATACCATCAGAGCAACAAAGTTTAGAAATTATAAATGTTACTTGAAGGAAATTTAAAAAGAAGTCAGATGCATGACCTTAAATTTGGCAGAAGATGACATATTGCCTACCAAAGTAATTAGAATTGCATGATGGACAACCAAATGTATGGACGAACGTACCTCTTGCTAATTTTGTGCTGGTGAGAAAGCCACTGACTAATATTAAAGAAGTTCAGACCATCACTTGGAATCAGATTTGGGATCAGTTGCTTCTCCATAGAGCAAAACTTTACCTCCATAGAGCAGGAGAGGACGTGAATTGCTGCTAGCATAAAACTCCAGCACAAACTGACAGCCAAGAAGAATTTGGTGAGATCAATTCTGTTTCTCTGACCTCACTAAGCAGTATCTTCTCCTCACAGAAAAACTTCCTGACCAGGAGCTAAAAACATAGAGGCACAGACTCAATGGCCTCTGCAATAAGACTGGAAAGGCATCAGCTCTTACCAATGTCCCAAATGCATGCTGAATGAAAACTTCTGTGCTACTCACAGAATTATTTCGTATGTAAAACAATGGCCTGGGAGAACTTGAAATACTAATACAAAATACCATCATTTACTACAAAACAGCTTAGGACTACTTAATGATAGATCAATTCTTAAATTGTATTTAGCAAATTCCTCTCTCCTGACACTCCATAATTTCTAAGTTTTCCAGCACTTACTTAATTACCCCAGTAAGTAAGCTAGCTATCAACTTCAGAATTTGGTAGGTTGCTTGACTTCTGTAGACCATTAATTGATTATTAGTAGGATGAAAAGAAGAAAGACTAACATTTGAAACAACTTGTTAATTCTTGGTCTTATAAATACCATCAGACAAAAACTTATGGCTAAACTTAGAAAAATCCAAACTAAACCAAAAAGTCCAAGTTTCAAGACAACAAAGTATAAAGATATGAAAGACATGAATCTCTAACTGCTCTAGTCCTTTGTCTGATCTGCTCATTAATCAACTTATAGTCTTAGCAATTAATGATCCTCAATCAGTAAACTCTCAGAAGTTTTTGGGACTACTACTGCTAACTTGTTTTAATGTTAGTTTCTGTAGAAATTTACTGATTTAGAAAAAAGCCATGATAGAAGAAAAATGAAAGCAAACTTTATTTTATAAGCTTAAGGAGTGTGAAAAACACTGCTTTTAGTTGGCAACAGGATTAATGGTATACTCATTTCTTCTACCACTGCAAGGCCTTTTAAGTTGGTCTGACAGCACACCATAATCAAGACAAACATAATTATTTTAAACTTAGTCAGTTTCCTAAGCATCCATGGCTGCCCAAGCAATTATGCCAAGCTATCTCTGGGAAAAGCAGCAAGGCAATGAACAAGAGTTAATGGCTAAAATGAAGTCAAATGTTTGTGCAACCAGTAAACCTGAAAAAAACAAATCCTACTTTTAGGCACTCCATCCTAACACATCAGTAACAGAATCTTGAAACCACTGTAAACAGAAAATAATTCCTATATTAAATACTCTTTTTTAAATAATATGATTTAATCATTAGAGGAATGAGAAAAAAAGATCAGCATCAGAGTTACCAAAAGTTGTTACCAATAGTATCATGGTTATGAACACTTCTTTGTGAGCTGGTCTGTTCTTCTTTATAAGTTACTTCTTCACGCCGTTTATATGGTCCACAGGATTTTGAAGAGTCTGGCACCACATTCTGTAATTAGTTTGTGATTTGCATGAATAATATAACATAGTCAATACGGATAAATTAAAAAATACTCTAAACGATACCTATAATCTACCATAAAGGCATTAGATGCCCAGTACTCAAACCACAGAGATGTACTGAGATCCCAAAAATTGTTTTGCTTAATGAATAAAGACTGATTTCTGGTATTACAGAGTAAAATGATTTTCCTGGAAAAGTTATGTTCTTTAAATTAAGGACTCTCTTTTGCTCAACTGACTGGTCAAAAAAGACCCCAAATCATTGTACAAACATGTAGAATTCTTTAACATCCAAAGCAAAAAAAGCCCCATTCAAACAACAAGCCAAGCTCACCACAACAGGCAAGTTTAATGGACATCTGCACTAACCTGATGTACTCATAGGTCTGCATAAAGCCTCTCAACTAACTATTTAAAGACCTTAATTACTACTGTAAGATTTTCTTTCATAAATTTATACATGCATCAAAAAATACATGCACTGTTTGTTTATTTTGGTAAATTAAGAATTTACCAAAGAAGAATTTTTGTCCCAATTAAGAACTAAAGAAAAACTCCCACACCAAAACACTACTGCAGCAAGGTCAAAAGCAGCAGGATCTAAGAAATAATAACCAGACACATGCACTCCCAAGTCTAGCAAGTGCTTAGTAATACCAAGTTTTTTCTGTCTAATAAGCAAAACTTTTCTTCACATGTAAAGTGTAACTTCAATATAAGCTAAAAGAAAGAGGCACTACTGACTTTCTAAATCCCCCCTGCACTGCCATCAATGCACTGTACCTTCCAGTAGTTTGGCTGACAGCTTTGATTCAGCCACTCTGAATACAGCGAAAGGGATTTCTGGGTAGTTAAATCTTCATATGGAAACCCCATTCTTACAGCAAACAGGGAGGCTTGAAAAGCAAGAACAAAATAAAAAAGAAATATTCATTTATTCACAGCTTTATGGGTTTTATGATAATGTATTCATGTTTTGTTTTTTTAGAAATCAAGAAATTCGACATCCTTTTTGGAGATGAGAAATACATCTTCAGGGACCAGTATCAGCCATTAGAGTGATGTACAACTGCAGTAGCCAACTCCCATTTCACAGACAGTGACATAAAAGTTTTCCCAATGAAAGAGGAACAAATTCAACTCTGTTAATAAACTGGACACAATTAAGAGGGTGAAGCAAGAACGACCTAGGCTGTGTGCATCACAGAAATAAATAAGTCATACAAATATAACTGTATTTTCCCTAAAAAGTAAACTTGTATCAAATATAAAGAACACAACACTACGTTTGCCATTAAAACTGATACCTGAAAAAAGCAATCCACCAGTTTAAATCACATTACACTTCGTCCTTGCAGCTTTAGAAATGACTGCTTCCTTGTTTTGAAAATTAATATTGTATGTGGCAAGAGAGCAAAAGAAATACCAACACAAGCAATGAAAGAATGCTACACTTCTAAGAAAGACTTATCATTAGGCAAAGGGAAAAGAAAAAAGATCAACTCTTCTGTCATCTTTTAGCTGTAGATACCTTTGATATTACCCAGTAACAGATACTGTTGCTAGGTTCAGATGCTTGAATTTATATTATCAATCCTTGATAATAACATCACTATAGTACACAACTGAACAAACTTATCCAGTCCAAGAATTAAGAGAAGCCTTCTATTATTTCTGGACTGTTTTTTTTTCTATATTTTTCTTAAAAACTGACACAAGTATCAGCACTCAGAGGAAAAGAAAACTGATGGATTCAATTAGATAAATATTTTCCCACTTAGGGAACAGGCTGGCAGAATTTTTTTTTTGTGGTTGGAACAGACAGGCAGATTTTTTTGGGGGGGGGGTTGGTTTTTTTTTATTTTTTTTAAGATAAAATTGTGCTTGTGCATATTTGTCAATAATTCTTGGGAACAGGCTGGCAGAATTTTTTTTTTGTGGTGGGGGGGTTTGTTTTTTTTTTTATTTTTTTAAGATAAAATTGTGCTTGTGCATATTTGTGAAGAATTCTTTCACAGTTTTTGAAACATTGTCTCTATTCCGGGAAGCAGACTTCCTAATTTTGCATCTTGAATAAAAAAATGCCTGCAGAGATTACATGCATTTATATGAAAGTATTTTATTATTCTAGCTATCTTTTCTGTAATACAAGTATTTCTATTTAAAAATACAAGTATTTCTATTTCGTTCTCTCACATAGCAGTTTAAAGGTTCATAAGGATTTTCTTTTTTTTTTCTCATCTTCATCTTGTGAGGACAACCAGAGATTCTCTTATCCAAGTTCTGATTTCCACAAAAAAATACATTTCTTCAAAAGAAATAGTCTTTCTCAATTTCTCCACTGCTTTCATTAATTCATTAACATTAAACACCATCTCAAATTTTTACTCAGATGAATCTTTAGCTTTCACATCTTTCTTTTGCCATTACTGCTAGATGTTTTCTTCTGAGCAAGCTATCACTGACAGTAAGTATTCAGCATAATAAATTTGTCCACATGCCTCCATTAGGCAAAGAGCTATCTTCTCAGGTTGGAAGATGTATCTAAAATCAGCACTTTAATCCTTCTGTTTCTTCATTTTCCTTATCCTTTCTGTTCATTCTCCTGATTAAAAGTTAAAAATACTACGGTAACTAGCAGTGAAGGGCAAATGAATATTAGGAGTATTGCACCCTCCGCTATTTGCGCCTGACCAATTTATTTTTCTGCACTACATGTGAAAGTTCTCTTAGAAAAGCCACTCATCATCATGGTCAATTGCCTAAAATTAAATAGTATCAACAGGTTTCTCTGTTCAGACCTTCAGTCAAACTGTATCCTCACTTCCCAAAATTGCTTCATTTTACTCCATCAAAAGTTGCTCGTGCACTTACTCTGCACATGCTAATTAACTATTTCAAAAATATTTAATCTTTTCTTATCAATTTCAAAGCCCTTGAATCACCATTAATGCTCAGATGTCATTTTCCACACTTGTTTGCATATTTCTTTCTGAGCAGGTACAGGCTCAGAGCAGGCTTCTTAAAAGCCAAGAAAATGTTCACTACTCACTCCTCTGGGGAATGAACAGCTGTTCTTGAAACTGGTACTATTCTACCAACAGCAGCCTGTATTTAAAAAGCTCAGCTAACCCTCCAATTTGCTACTGCTCTTTTGTTGTGCCTGGGAGTACAGCCTCTAATGAGTTCTCACTAATACTTTTAAACTATGAAATACACTAATCACAATATATACCAAAATATTAGAATTTAACTCCAGTGTCTATTAATTCTGCCATTCCTTAGAAAAAGTTACTTAATGGTTTTAAATGCAACATTTACATCTAACCGTTTCTATAGTGTCTTTTAATAAATAATCTTTGGTAACTTGGTTATCAGTGATATTAGCCTTGGGATTACAAGTCAATATTTGCAGTTAAGCTGATGGAAAAAAACATACAACTATTTTTTCTGTCTAAAAATAAACCTATTTCATGGACACAGAATGAAAGAATAAACACTTTTGAACTATTTGAGTAGACTGATTCAATTGTCAAGGAGTTCTTCCTCTTCTATTACCAAGATGAAAACAATTTTATTATGAAGTATTTTAAAATGAGGGTTTGACTTGGAAACAGTTAAAGGAATAATTACCTGACTCTCCCACTAGTAAAGTATGCTTAGTGTATTCAATGACCTTTCGTGCTACACCAATTGCGTTTTTCACACGCCTGAGATCCGCAACAGCCCCAACTTCCATAGTGTTGCTGGAAACAAGGAATATTCAAAACTTATTATAACTCCAAGAATAATTGCACATTTTTTACTAGACAAAATCTGTTCTCATCTAAACCAAAAAGCTTGCTCCTTTACCATAATGCTTCAATTGATCTATGCCATAGACAGATGTCACTACATTAGTAGGGAAAGACTTCCTACATATATTGTTTCCTTTCACAGGCATGGAGATGGTGCTCAAGAAACAGTACTTCCATTCACAGCAATATTTTCAATAGAGTAACCACTTTGTTACATAAACTCATAACATGAACCTCACATTTGCAATTACTTTTTAATCACGACAGCTTTAAACAGTAAATAAATGATTGAAGACAATTGTTCCAAAAGTGAAATATTTATGGACAAAGGGAAAGCTAACAATGCTACAAGTCATCCCTTTCAACTGCTACAGCAAGAACTGGATTAATGCACTACAAATGAAGAGTTATTTGCCACTCTTCCAACAATCAGGTATGTTATTTCTCCTTGTTCCACAAGTTAGCTTGTCCCATACTCAGCCTCAAACCACCAAGATGCTGTAACAACCCTTAAGTGTGCTAAAAATGGCAGGTGTGAGAAACAAGTTAATGGAAGTTGGCTTTCACTGGGTGTTGTGTGAATCGGTATTATTAATTATATTGTTGATTAAATATTATGATGTTGTCAATATTGATATAGCAATATGTGCTGTGGAGTGGTTGATGTTGTTGCAGTGGCCTAGCTGTAAGGCTGGTTTTGTGAGGATGGTTTTGTGTGTTGTGTAGGTTTGTGAGTTTACATTGGATGGACTGCTGCTGGCCAAACCTTTGAGACATGACTTTAAAATGAGCAGAACACACACAGTGATAGTCCTGAGGACCACAGTGATGAAACTGCATGGATGCCCACGAGAGTGATGTGGGGCGAGACTATGTAAAATCAAAACAAATACGCAGCAAGCTGATGGAACACCTGGGGCATAAAATGCAGAGCTGCCATTTTGTGGATGAGCCTCTGGCGTTCAGCCATGCTCTCAGCGCTGTACCTTTTGCCTTGTGAACTTTTTTATTCTTCTCAATAAAAGTCTTATAATGCCTTCCCACTTGAGGCCCGAGTCATTTATAACAGACTCTCTTATCCATACAGTTTCCTTACCCATCCATAATCATGGCATCCAGAGTTGTTTCTCCACTTTCATCTGGGCTTCCTCCGTATCCCACGCTCCCATCGCACTGATCAATCTCACACTGACCACAGCCTCTCTCGACTGCATCCAGCTCTGAACCTCCAGACTCCAATACTCTCCAAGCTGCAATCAACACAAATTATTAAATGTCAATAGGGAAAAGTTTCCACTGCTGCTTGAAGACAGACATGATGCAGGTGCACCACATAAGTGGATAAAAAACAGGAAACTATAAATCACAGACTATGAAGTTAAAATACAAAGATAACCAAAAGAATTGGTTATATTTTCTAAATTCACTATTCACTTTTCTAAATATTCTTTTCCTTGTGTATCTGATTAGTGTTTCTGACTAAGAAACACAGCTTTTCTTTTGATGGTATTATTTATTAACAATTATCACAAGTTCTCTATATCAAATACCCTTCGTTTCTGACTAAGAAATACAGCTTTTCTTTTGACGGAGGTATTATTTATTAACAATTATCACAAGTTCTCTATATCAAATACCCTTCCCTGTCCAGAACCAATCATTAATTTATCACCACTTCTTTAAAGCCTTCTGGGAAAAGAAAGAGGGGAAAAAATCTTTCACCTCAAAAAAAGAAAATAAAAAGGCCAAAAAAAAAGCTGCCCTCAAAAATTTTGTATGAGAATATTAAGTGCCCAATTCCAGAATAAAACGGTATAAACCTACATCAGCAACTACGTAAGCACAAAAGCAAAGTGAAAATGATATTTAAGGAAATAATTCTCCACATTCCCCTGTTCAACCCTTGGTCTTCCATTCTTCAGGATCTACATCATGGTGCTGCTTTGTAAGACATGGCATATGTGTCAAACAACATGACTTGAATACACTGAGCCTGAAGGCATTGCACATACAAGATTTCACAAGGATGGACCTCAGGCAAGATCTTCTAAGGTGCCTGAGCTTGCTGCCACTGACAATCACAGTCCTGCTTACTCCAATTTGTGCTGGCTCTGGTGCTCCATCACCTGACAGACCCAGCACAGGGAAAGCAGCAAATGCCAAGAAGCCTAATCATCACAGATGCTTCACGACTAATACATGAAGTTGCCTGCACCAGGGAAGCAGTAAGCCTTAATATCATGCATCCAACTCCACACATGCTTGCCTCTATTACAAACTCATTCAGTGTGAGGAGTATTGTCTGATACCTATTACCTTTACTGCCGTGAGTAGCCTTAGCACAGGCTTTCAGAAGCTGCAAAGCCAAGGGCCTTGCAATTTTCATGAGTGCACTTCTGGCCATTGCAAAGCTTTATTGGTAACTCATTTCACAAGTAAGCATTTTGTGGTTTATTTAGGGGTTATTCACAACTCGGCTGTAATAAAATAATCTGCAAGTCTTTTAAAATTACTATTCACAGCTGATGTAAGTTGCCATAGGGAAAGCCTGCTTCGACTGCCAACAACACATCACAAAACAACAGTTTCAAAGAAATAATGTAACTACCCAATTCTTTAAAGGAAAAAGAAAACCAAACCAACAACAAAACCTTTAAATACTGCACAAGAGTGTAAACTACATTATTAACAAAAGCATGTCTTTGATCTAGCTTTTTCGCAGTTCGTAACTCCCCTCGTTAGTTTTTCTGGGTTTTGGTCGGGTTTTTTAGCGTGATTTCCCATCGTGGAAAGTGAAACCACTTGCTTGCAGGCTCCCAGCGGCAGAGAGACGGACGGGCAAGCTCCGGCGCTGGGCCCTTCCATAGGAAGGGAAACCCTTTCCAAGCCAGCCGAGGCACGTCCCACCGCCTCCCCGCCGGCAGCGGGGCTGCCTCCGAGCCGTGACGGGGCAGCGGCCAGCAGAGCCCGGGCTCCGCCGGGCAGCCGGGTCACAGCCCGCTCCTTCTGGGCACGCTTCAGCCCAGCCACGTCTCAGAGGTTCCCCCTTCCTTAGCCAGCACCACCCCCCAGGTGCGCCCGGCAGCCCCTCAGCAGGAGGCGCTCCCGAAAGGCAGCGAGCGGCGAGCCGCAGCACCGCCCCACCCGCCCCGCTGCAGCCCGGGGCCCCGCCGGGACACCTGTCTCTGCGGCCGTCCTAAACGCCCAGGTGTTGATGACTACAGGGAGAGCGGCAGCTGAGGCGGCGCTTGCCGGCGTCAGCACACCGAGGAAGAGGAGCGCGACCGTCACCCCCAGCCAGTCCCCGCCGCGTCCCGCCGCCATCACGCCCAGCCCGGCCCCGCTCAGCTCCGCCGCCCCCGAGCCGGCGGCGCAGGCGCGCACGGCCTGGCAATGCCCCGGCCAGGGAAACAGTGTGTGTTAGCAAAGGCCGAGGCCCACGCCCACAAATACAGTTTGTATTTCGCAGAATCATAGAATGGTTCCGGTGGGAAGGGACCTTAAAGATCACATAGTTCCAACCCCCCTTCCATAGGCGAGGACACTATCCAGTACTCCAAACTGTTCCGAGACCCATCCAGCCTGGTCTTGAACTTCCAGGAATGAGGCGTGCATAGTCCATAGGTGAGGACACCATCCAGTACTCCAAACTGTTCAGAGACCCATCCAGCCTGGTCTTGAACTTCCAGGAATGAGGCGTGCATAGCTTCCCGGAGTAGCCTATTCCAGTCCCTCGCCACCCTCAGAGTAATGAATTCTGTTCTAATATGTAAGCCTACTCTCTGAATTTGAACCCGTTCCCCTTGTCTTGTCACTACATGTACATCTAAATAGTCTTGCCTCATCTTTCCAGTAAGTTCCCTTCAGGTACTGGAAAGCTGCAATTAGGTCACCCTGAAGCCTTTCCAGGCAGAACAACTCCAGTTATGTCAGCTTTTACTCTCGAGAGGTGCTCCATCCTTCTGATCAGCCTGGTGTGGCCTTGCTCCAGCAGGTCAGCCTCCTTTCTGTGTTGGGGTCCCAAGGAGCTGGATGCAGTACCTGAGGTGGGGTCTCACCAGAGCAGACTAGAGGGGCAGAATCACCTCCCTCAACCTGCTGGCCATGCTGCTTTCCATGCAGCTTTTTTATGGAGTCTGGATGTGTGTTACAGCCAGCCTGCTTGTGCAGGGCCCGCACCTGCCGATGAGATTGCCAGTGGTGCCGGAGTGCAGGAGCTGAGCTGCGGTGGAGTGGGAAGGCTGTGCAACAGCAGGGCTGCAGGGTGGGAGCAATCTCCCCTTAAGCTCATGAGATCCACTTGCAGCATCTTCATGTGCTACCTTGCTAACACGGATGTCTTGTCAGAAGTGCCTTATGCCACAGAGGCATTTCTGCGAAGGGTGTCTTTTGGGACCTACTACAGCCAAATAGTTTATTTTAAAAAATGGTGAAAAGCCTTGCTTTACAGAAACCTAAAATTTATAACAAATAATTTCTTAATTCTGCCATTCAAGCTTTTAGTGATAAACAATTAGCAGTAGTTTAAAGGTCTGAACGCTTACCTGCTATAAGCAGAATTCACTGGCTTGTGTTCAGCGCTGATTAAGTTCAAGGAGCTGCTGATCATCAACCAGCTATTATATCTGAAAAAAATGAAAAAAAGGTGACTTTTGCTTCTATGTGGATATAAAATCAACTCTTTTTTGTGCTTACCTGCTGTAAGCAGAATTCACTGGCTTGTGTTCGGGGCTGATTAGGTTCAAGGAGCTGCTGATTATCAACCAGCTATTATATCTGAACAAAATGAAAAAAGGTGACTTTTGCTTCTATGTGGATATAAAATCAACTCTTTTTTGTTTTTTTAAATACTCTTTTGACTTGTCCTCATTACTCCTTTTCAATATATAATGCGCCAGACTCAATTACACTTTAGCAGCAATGTTTTTGGTCTTGTGTTTGTGCTAAGAGGGGATATTTGGACCTCATGTGTGGCATGAGGTTTGTAGGCATATATTAATTGTGAGTGCACCCAAGCTGGTTTAAGAAGCCTGAAGCAATGTTATTTTTATTGTAACAAAACATTCCACAGCCTTTAGAATTAAATGATTACCACAAAGGAATGTGTTCTCCTTTATAACAGAAGTCACAAAATAATGAGATACAGGATTGAGTTTGACTTCAGTGATAGCATGGCCTTGGTTTCAGCCATTTCCCAAAAGCAAAACTACAAGTAATCTAGAGAAACCTTTACTCAGGTAAGTACTGTTAGCTGAGTTATTTCTGCTATTACTGTTCTTATTTAATACTGTCTGTATTTCTGTGTAAAGCAGTTAGGTAAGGGAGGTGGGCCAAAACACAGATCCAAATTAATGTTAGCTGGAGGGAAATAGAACAAAATATTTTCAGGAAATAAATTTAGTAATAAGTAAAAAAAATACATAATCCAACACATTCATAAAGAGGATACATTAATGATATTTTTCAAATACAGTTTTCTTTTTGTGAGATTAAATAGACTGTTATGAAAGAAAACTACTTTAATATGGGTGTCATTCAAGTAAGTATTGGCTGTGATGGTTTCGTCTGCAGGCTGAGCCTGCACAGCTGTGGAGAGAATATTTTGTATGACTTGAAACAGCAGAACATTATGCTTTGAGGCTCATGCAGAAATTCGGTTGGTTTGATTTCTGTGGCATGCTTTGTAACTGGCACTCAAATGTGAATGACTTCCTGCTAGAAATAAATGCAATCTTGAATCCTTGCTTTACTGTATACAGTGCTATTTAATATATTTTTATACTGTGTGTGAACAAACAAAGCAAACACTGCTTTCAGATACACTGTATAAAACCAAAACAGCAAGGTCAATAAAACTATCTTTCTGCATGCTGAAAGCACAGGAGAATTTGAGCAGTGTTTGTCCAAAACAACTCTACAAGTCTGTTATGCTACATCCATGGGCTCTTGATTTATGTTCAGTCTCTCACATAAAGTATTTTAAAATTGGTCTTGGGATTTAAAAATTCTTTGTATTTTCTTAAAAATTGCCTTTTGTTTTGAATCAGTCCTTGATGCATCAGCAGTGGAAATGCCTCTTTATCTGTTTGTCCCCAGTAGTTACTGTTATGATAGAGACTGTAGGTGAGATAAATGGTGATGCTAACAAGCTTTTGTCTCTTCTGCTAAAAAGCAAATCAATGTTTCTACAAGGAGAATTTTTGTTCATATGTATAATATTGAAAGAATATTCTAGAGAAAGGCTTGTATGGACAAGGCATTACTGGGAGGATGTACAGCAGACAACACTGTGACTGAATGGCACTGAGTAATTAATGAAAACACAGGAAAAAGTTCACCTTTTTCACTGAGAGGGTCTGTTCCTACAGTGGCCGCATTCTGACCTCAATTATATCTGTGTGACCTAATTTAGCAGCATCTGTTAAAAAATGCATGCCTAGATCCTTTTTGCTGTCTCAAATTTTCTGTAAGTGTGATTTGAAATCTAATTAAGTTTTGTAGTTACATAGTTATATAATTTGTTTACATTTTTATCTTCATTTTAGTTAAATTTTCTAACACTAACATAAACACTTGAACAGAAAAGATGAGAATAATTTCCTTAATAAAATTAATCAAGTTTGATTAGCACTTGCTAATTAAAATATATTTTTAAATAACTGTGTGCTGTATTTTTCTCTTTTGAGTAGATTTGTAGAAGCCCTGTACTCCTGGGTTTTAAAATATTTTTTTTCTCTCTTTCAATCCTTTTTTTAGCTTCTTATAATACACATGCTCACTCATTCACTGAACAACACTGTAAAGAATGAACAGATTTATTCGTAGTGTGTGTATCTGTCAACTACCTCTCAAATCTACTAGGAAAGAGCCTTATGCCTCTTCTCACACTTGAGAAGAGCTATGTGTAAACATTTTCAAAGCTACTTAGTTATCTTCACCTGAATCCCTTGTGAAACTCTTCATCAGTGTGTGATCTGTCAAAGTGTATAAAATTTGAATCACACGATTATCCAGACCTCTGCTTTCCCTACTGTTTTGTGTCTTTCTCAACCATCTTTTTCCATGTGTTATATGTTCTCTTTCACTTCTGCTGTCAGTTCTTTTGGGTATGAATTGTCATTCCATTAAAAGTTTGTACAGTGTGTAGCACCAGTGCTTGCTACCTTAGCATTCTCTGGTCCTTGGCAATATATTAATGAGCATTAATATTGATAATGAGAAAAAAGTACAGCTGCTAATTATAAAAACCAAATAGCCATCAATAATAACTAAAACATAATAGCAATGCTTCCTTTGCTAAATTTCTTTTTGCTACCACTTGTTTTTTTTTAAATCAAATTCTAAGTTATAGTAGTTTCTTTTCTTCCTTTGTAACCTCAAAATAATTGTTATCACATCATGTCACAGAATAATATGTTCCTGTACTATCATTTTGGTCTGTTGAATTCTGTCTCAAAGCAAGTTATGGGTAATATATTGCCTTTCTGTAATTGCTATACTGGTCCACTGGTCCAACTGTAATAAAGTTGTCATATGGAACATGTGACAGTACATCTTTGTAACTGTTGGTTTTTTGTTTTTTGTTTTTTTTAATTACAAGTCTTCCTAACTTTCTGATATCTTCATAAATGTGATCCATGGTAATAATAAACTTCTTGGACAAATACAACTGTTTGCTTCACCCAACTCTGAAAGTTTGCTTGACATTGTTAAATGAGCAAATTTAAAGTTCTCAGTGTTGGAAGGAAGCTAACCACAAACTTTTATTATACAAATATTAATATAGAAATATGGAAATTTTTGATGTCTATATCTCTTTCAAATGGTTTGAATATGCCCACTAAGATTCTCACCAGGTTAAGGTTATCTAATGTGGGAGTGTATATCAACACATGCAACACTGTGATATTTTCACAGTTAGACCATGGAAAAGCAATAAGTAGTTGCTTTAGGAGGGAATTTAAAATGTGTGAGCCCCATCTTTGAAAAGAATACTGTGTGTTGTCTCTGCATAGTGCTTTCTCCAAAGTGCTTCTTTGTAGTCTTTGTTAGGACTAATATTACTAATGTCATTCTGGTTTTTCCATGTATTCCATTGTATTTACCAACCCCTTGTTTTACACTGGCTTCCATGTCTCCTACTTAAGTTCAGCCATGTAAAGATTGCTAAGGTATCACATCCCCATAATATTCAGTGTAAACTCAAACTTCAGTTCAACTATTATAAAACTTTTAAGACCGGTTTTAAGAATGTGTCTGGGAAGTAGTAAGGAGCAAGTTCCTACTCCATGATATCTGAACTGGATGTATCCACAGCACTGCAATGTTTCTTAACCACTGAAGAAGTGTACAAACCAGGTCAAGGTT